GGCAGAAACAGGGACAGTCAGAAAAAGCCGATGTGGTTTTTACAGCAAACCGTTTCTGAGCCACTGATTCACTTTATAGCTGATTTCACCTATTTAGGCAGATCCAACTGGGCTGGCATTAGCGACGGACTTTTCGATGTTTCATGACCCTGGTATTTTGGACGGTATTCCAGAAGTGAGTGTATGGGGCTGGACAAAATTAAGGTCTGTTTTTGTAATATGAGCTGTGGATGTCAAAGTGAGCACTTCCGTTTTATGTAAAGAATTTGAATTCCGACAAAGTATGACAATCTATTCCAGCATGAAGTACCAGATGCAAATCTTTTACACAGTCAAAATATATATCTTGAAACTTAGCAATAGTTTAGTCTAATCATGATCAAGCAAGCACAGACTCACTATGTCCATATAACTTGATTTAAGTATACAGTAAGAGATTAGTGACTAGTCTGGCACAAGGCCACAATTGTGAAGCACTTGGTAATGGTTGAACTGTAGTATTCATAGATTACCCTAATGGCTTGCTGATCGTGACACCAGTGTTAGGGACTTTAGCCTGAATTTTAATAATTTATTAACTATTTACATAAGTCATTGTTAACAAAGGTTTGTGTGACCTGGCTTGTTCAACTATTGATCCCATTGGATTATACACTCTCTCAAAGAAACTCACTACAATTCAATCTACATATTTTTTTTTATATGCACCATGTCCCTTCATAACTTTTTATATTTTCTAGCCCTTAGCACTGTTGTTACTATTCTTTACACTCTGTTCTGACATCTATTTATAGAAACTTGTCAGGTAGGTTACTTGTTGCTTGCTCTCTTGTCTTCATTATGTCATGTGAGTGTCAAATTCTCCAAGACCTCTTTCCTCATTATACATCCCAGAAATTTCAACTATCTCTTTATGATTCTAAGCATAAGTACCTCTCTGTTTCTATTTTCTTTAAAATTTCCTCATTGTTTACTTGATCTGCCCATGTTATTCTCAGCATTGTTCTATAGAACCCCATCTCTGTTGCCTCAAATGTCCCCTTCATCTGTGAAGAAATTGCCCAGCATTCACTGCCATATAAGAAGATTGCTATTATATAGAAATAGCCCTATATTACATCTCAAAACTTTTTGTGTGTTTGGAATGCATTTTTTTTGCTATACCAATGCACCTTCAGGTTTCTGTCACATTTTCCATTGTCTATTATAACCTTCCCCAGGTCATTAAATTTCAATACTTGTTTGATTTTGATATCTTCAATTTGTAGCTCACATCTTGCTAATGAAACTGCATTCTTTCTTTGAATTGATAGTTTGCCCTTTCTTCTTGCTTTCATTTAATATCTTGTCTAGGAGTTCCTGCAGCTTCTATCCACCATCAACATGGTGTCATTTGAATATCTTATGTTGTTAAGATTGCACCCACCAATAATAAATCCTTGCAGAACTACTTTTTTTAAATAATGCTTTCTAATATCTTTTCCTCCCATTTCTGTGTATGTGTGCATGTGTATATATATATATATATATATATATATATATATATATATATATCTGTGTGTGTAGGAGTATTCTTTTTGGCTGGCTTACAGTTGAGCTATCATGCCCACTCTTTACTTATATTGATTTTATTGAATGAGACAATCATTTCTCAGTTATATATTTGTTCCATTTGTTTTGTTTATTTCTCTTTTTTTTTTTTTATTTATAAATATTTTTTCCTTTTTTTTCCCTACTTGTTGTTTGATTTCTCTCTGATTGTTACTTTTCCTTCCGATCTGTTCTCGAATTAAATAGTAGACAAATAATCAATATTTCTTCCATCATTATTTTTTCTCTCTCTAAGATCTGTCTGCTTCTAAGATTGTTGATCTTCTGTAGAGACATTTTCTGAAACATTTTGCATTGCTTCAATTTTTGGTTTGTTTTTCTAATATAAGAATATTTCTCTTCGTTCTTTTTTGCCTTTATTCTGTCTTTTTGTTTTGTGTGGTTGTCTCCTTGTTTTTACTGACCAAAGACTTGATGTGTTACAAATACATTGTAACCTGGGTGTTGTCATGGTTCATTATCTTGATTTTTGTCTTTGATGAATGCTGATTATGGTTGAGAGACTTGACATTACTGACTTTCAGGAAGGTAATTGGACTAATATCCAAATCCTTTGTTTAAATATGTACATGCTTAAATCATTTTCTTTAAAAGTATTAAATAATGACAAGTGACCATTACGGTAAATAAAGTGACAACAAGTCTAGCACATTCCTCAGCATTCTCATAGATCTATTGCTACTTCCACAGAAACTGCTCCGATGACCTATATACCATGGTCCCTTCTAGTCAAACCTTCACAGCAAAGACAGGCCATGCAACTCATATAGTAGCAAATTATCCATATTCCCTCCATATTCCATTGATGTGTAAGTTCGTTCCACTCGAACAGCTTCTTTCTGTGAACCACTGCCCTGTAGATCTTAATTCCAATAGGATGTTTACCTGATCACTAGAATTTTAACCTGTTCAAGGCTAGGGTTAACTGTTATCTTCCATTCCTATATGCACAAATTGCCTCCCCAGGACTTGTAAAGGGTGAACCTTACTATTTAAAAAAAAGTACTCTTAGTTCTTTTTGGGCTCTTTGTTTGTGTGTAGGGCAAAAACAGTGTGGCTTCATTAATGACAATGGAACAAGGAAAGCAATATTTATGCTCAGAATGATATCTGAACAGGCAATACAAATGCTAAAGGAAGTATACCTATGTTTTATAGATTATACAAAAGTGTCTGATTATGTATTCACAAAGAACTCTTAGGTAATGTTAGCATATTTGGGAAGGATATTAGAATAATCTAGAGCCTATCATCATCAGTACCTTGACTGCTTCAATCATCAGAGGGATCTAATGGCAAAATAAACCTACTCCAGGATGATCTGTTGGTGGTGGCTCTCAGTAGTTCTGGCATTGTCATATCTGTCCTTAGTAATGTTCCTATTTCTTACTCTTCCACATCCAGTAACCCATTGTATCTTAGTGGCCTTATTGCTTTGCTTATGGGGAAATGTTTAGTGATGTTTACAAAAGTGCTCTTTACAAAAATACATCAATGAAACCTGATTTCTTACAAAGACTACATATTCTATACATATGGACCTATCCTAAAAATCTTGTCAGCATTAAATAACCCATTGAGATTGATATGCCATAAAATAAACAAAACCAAACTTAGTGTCATGAACAAATTCATTGAGTCTATTTTCAAGAAGCTTATTGATCACATCAACAGAAACATTGTCCTTAGCAACAAGCAGTATAGATTTCACTCCTCTGGGTCCACTGTTGACGTTTTAACTGTAATTTCACACAAAATAAGCAAAGCATTCAATAATAACTTCATCACAAGAGAGATTGTCTTAGATATCTCAATGGCCTTTGACAAAAAATGGTATTGGGAGTTGCTACACAAACTATCAATCTATGCCATCACTGATAATGTTTTTAGAATTATCATGTCCTCCTTATTCAGGAGGTCAATGAAGGTCATCATTAATAACTTGCCTTCTGTAGCCCAAAGCTCTAATTTACTCCTATCCTCATTGTGCTTTATATGAACAACCCAGGAACATTCCCAGATTATTAGTAAATATCTGACAATATCACAGTTTATGGGTAGACCTTCAAAAATCTAAATGAACAGAGTCTGGCAGGTGATCTCTCCTCTAACAGTGTGGGGGGATGGCTTGTAACATGTAATACATTCAAAACTAATTTCCTAATGCCCTATCATCATTGAGCAGACTGAATTTTTGACAGTTCTCAAGTGGAACTTGTATATATGAATCATCACTAAAGATGTTGGAAACATGGTCAGTTCCTAGTACTGCTTAAGAAAGTACTTGACTCCTTGTGCCATATGTTTATCTTTGCAAGAGTCAGATCAGATCAAAAACAGAATATTACTACCATATCAGGACTGGAGGTGATGAATCTTCACTTTTCAACCTTTGACAGAGTTCAGAAGTGTTTATGCAGCTTTGCAGGTGATGGATTATTTTCAACACTACAGTGCCTTTCCCACAGATGAAACATTGCAAGTCTATTGTCATTCTACTGCTATTTTCATGACAATTGTTCAAATAAGCAACATTCATTAGTTCTACCAGTTCAGACCATTACAGCTCGGACTCTACATACCCAAGTACACAGGCCTGAATCATTTTCATTCCCTTTGTGTTCCATTGGTAAGAAAGAATTTCCACTCATAGATCTTCTTTCTGAGAACATCTACTTTGTAGAAACAGACTCCTGAGAGGATGCTTCCCTGGTATTAAGTCAAGGGTCAACAATTATCTGAATTTACATTCTTCTCTTATGCCCATACAACCTCATTCAGTAACCCTCTACCTTGAGTAGTTCTTGGGCCTTGTATTGGGTGAACATTTAGTAAAAAAAAACAACTGAAGAAATGATCTTTACAAGAATCAGATAAGACTAAAAATGGAGCATTACCTTCATGTGGAGAGACTTATTCTCCATTCCGAATCCTCTTTTCTGCTGATGTAATATTACAAGCTTTTTATGGCAAGCTTAAAATCAGAAACAGACAGTTGAAATTTCTAAAGTGCATAATGAGGGACAGAAGAAAGCAGTAAATGGTTGGCAGAACAGAGGGTATGAGAGATAGCAAAAAGACAAACCTTGCTAAGAATCTTTTGGTGAGCCATGTTCACCAATGTCCTGAAGGCACAAGGCACAAAGAAGATGGCAAATGTTCAGATGAGCTCCATTCTTTAGTTCCATCAGTTCAGACCTTTAGAGTACTACTTCCACAGAGTCAAATCACCCTCATTTCTTCCATATTCCAAACATAAGGAGAAAGTTCCACTCAGACAGCCTCTTCCCAAGAAGATTTCTATATGGATGCTCTCCTGAGCACTACAATTTTAACCTCTTCAAGTAAAGGGTCAATCTTTATATATCCTCCTGATCTTCATGGCTAAAGGCCATATCATGTTGAAACACTAGTTCCCATATGACCACTGAAGTTAAGCAATGTCAAGCCAAGTCAGTACCTACATGGGTGACAACTTGGGAATACCAGGTGCTGTAAGCATGTATGTGTGGGTGGTGTAATAGATATTGGCATGGAATTGTTAATCTGTTAGCCTAGTTAATTCCAGTTAAGTTTGTTATATTAAATGTGCAAATACCTTTGGGAAAGGTATGAATCCACCTCTTCTCCTCTACCCCAGCTATCGATTTATTAAGACTGATATCGCTAAATCCTTATCTTTATATAAAATACAGTGTATGTGTGTGTTTTATGTGTGTGTCCAAGCAACTCCTTCACTCCCACTGGTCCGATTTCAATGATTCATAGCTCATTCAAAGGCCCTAGAATAGTTATTCACAGGGAACGATTTTCGTTGAGCTCAGATTCAGGGTTGCCAGATTATGCAAGTTTAAAAGTATATATTAATATATTATACAAGCTATTATCATTACTTTCATAGTTCAAGGGGAGTAACTCTTATTTTTCTTTTGTATCCAAAATTTCAGCTAGCTTGAAATTTTAAGCTAGCTTAAAAGCCACCCTATTGAGTGGCATTTAAGCTGGCTCCTGTGGAGGACTCTTGGTTTGGCCGTCGTCACAATAGCTAGGGAGGAGTAGATGTGATAGGCATGAATAAACTACAGATGAACTCAAAATTGATCACTGCATTTAAGTATTGAATTAATGTTCAAGCTTACCTTTTAAAGTTCAATGATAATTCTTCTGCTGCCACTTAATTTAAAGACAATCAGATGTATGTAGATCCTTATTTTCCATACAGACAATTTTTTTTTATTTCATGGGTAACTGAACAGTGGACAATTTATAAGATAAAGTTAATATACCGTTAAGATAGGAAAATAAAATTAGTTATACATTCAACATTTGAAGAGTTAGAGAAACATAATAGCTAATTAAGTAAAACCTCTATTATGGAATCTATATGAATAAATGCATAATTGGAGCTCAATTCTCCCACAAATTCTGAGATTAAAACACCCCAGCTCTGCTTTATAGTAACTTGTATTTACTCAACCACTCACAAGGTCAGGTTTTGACACAAGGTCGGTTTAATGTGGGGAGCCTGAGCGCATACACCCAGGCTACGAACAAAAATTGTCCACAGCCCCCACAGCTGTTGATTGTGCTGGCCTCAATGCAAGCACCAATTCCTCTCTCTGGTGCCATGAGAGGGCATGGACTCAGTCAGCTGTTCCCCAGGGCTGGGCACCTCTCAGTATAATTTTCCTCAGTTGTGACACTGTCCTTTGATGGAATCACCCTCTGAGTACAGGGAGGCAACTGAGAGATGATAAATTAATGTGTTACAAACTACTTTAGAGTAATTTACACACTGCATTTACTTGACAAATTGACAATTGGGGAAAGTTAAGTACTTAAAATGCATACCTAGCCTATGTTACAAATAGGTGAAAAAATTAGTTCAAGGAGCCTTGTTATTTGAGCATGGTCATAGCATGGATACACTAATAAAAGCTTCCCATATTAATATCTGGGTGTGTGTGTATTATCACCAAACTCCACAAAAGGTGAAGGGGTCCATACCTGATTGGGAGCCCAGGCAGTATTTTGAGACCCTTGCTATCTTACCAACATTTGCTTTTTCCTAGCTACATTTATATAAGTTACTAATTAAACTAAGCACAACTGACTATAAAGTGGTGAAAATCTTTTGCATATTATGAGTCATTCTGGAATCTTTTCTTTCTTTTTTTGTTGTCCAAATGTGAGACTTTGTTTTTCTCGTGCTAAGTCTAAAAAAAACACTTTATAAAATTCACTATTTTTAATCCATAATATTAAATGTCTTAAAATTATTCAAGTTATTAACAAGAAAAATCTCAAGTTGATGTAAAAAATTGCAACTTTATTTAAGATGGAATGATCTATTATGATATGTCTCTAATTTGTATTTAGATTTACTTTCAATTTTTCTAGTTGAATTGTTCACCTATATTGCATATGATCCATTATTGTAACTCAGGTTACAAAAAAAATTGTGTTTTATATAAATACTACCTTATAAAAATGGAGATGTAGTAGAGTGGGTGGTCATTATCATATATTGGAAGTGGGTGTATCATAGATTCAGTGGGGAGGAGGTTTATACTAATCAGGGCCAGTACCCTGATTAGTATAAACTATAGTTTAGAAAGTGAATGTCATAAATACATGTAAAATGAGCTCTTGTTATTCCCTTTAATACATTCATTTTCATCTTATCTACAAAAACCATTCATCTGTATAATCCTAATTAAGAATTAAATTAATATTCTGCTGGTGAGTGTCTAAAACAATGCATATTTTTGCAGGTTGTTTCAATCTTGCAGAAGATTGTCATGATACATAAGTTTTCAGAATGTAATCCTAACAGTAATTAAGAACTGGATACACATAATAAGTTAATGAATTTTTCCATTAATTAAGTATTAAATTGAGTATGCCATTTGTTTCATCAGAACTACTTTAAAACAGTTGCCAAGTATTATGGCTATTTTCTTGTCTTTCTGCAGAAATAGAATATGATAGAAGTCATATATATATATATATATATATATATATATATATATATATATATATATATATATAAATATAAATAAATTCACCCAAAGTAAGGCAATAATGCCACTAAGATGTAAGGTCTGTTGGGAGTAAAAGAGAATGAAAAACACTTTTGAAGGAACCCAAAACTCAATCCTAAACAGGGAACATGGGATAAACAAACCTGTCCTCCCTTTCAAAAGTCCAAGGAGGAGTGTGAACCAGAGAGAATATAGATATATAAAGAAAATCTGGAAAGTCCTCTGAGAGACTTTATCAAGGCAGATGTGGGATTTATTTTGTTCCAAATTTGAAGTATTGAAGAAACACACATATTTAAGGAAACAAGAACTTGCAGGAATTTATTTACAAATTTACACATTTGAAGTGGTTAGTAGCTTGTTTCAGGAAAAGAAATGAAATATTTAAAGTTTGTAGTTTCGATGAATCTTCAAGAAGAGAAAATGTTCATATTAAATCATTGGACACAAAGTGATATTCCAAAATGTTTAAAACAAATTAAGGGAGTTCATTTTTTCACATAAAATTTATACAATTTTATTCAACAGGAATTAAAAAATATATTTCAAGGTACTTAGCTTTGGAGTTGAATAGAGTTCTTTGAAATTGCCCTGAGACTGATAATGTGTAAGCATGTAATTTGACACCAGCATTATTCAGACACATGGAACACTGGCTTTCTGCCTCCTGCTTCTTTCTGTTTTCTCTCTCTTGATACAACTTTCTCTGCCTATTTGCATCAAAAGGCGATTTCACATCAGCTTGTTACTTTTTCTCAGTTTGTAAACTGATCCCTTTACTATTGGTGAAAATAAATTTTTACATAGGCCTGTTAAAATTTGCCTTGATCTTTTTTTCAGCCTGGAGCCAATCCCTTTTTCTATTGGTCAAAATAAATTTTCACATAGGCTTGCAAATTTGAAAATGGAGTTATTTTTGTTTTGTATTCACCACACATTTGCCTTGATAAAGTCCCTCAGGGGATGAAACATATCGGATAAGAATAGTTTTTTCCCCTTGTCTTTTTATTCATTTTGTTCCTTTACAGATACACTGTATCTAAAATTATTTATATATATATATATATATATATATATATATATATATATATATATATATATATACACAGTGAGTACACCCTCACATTTCTTCAAATATTTAAGTATATCTCTTCATGGGACAGCACTGAAAAAATTACCTTTTGACACAGTGAAAAGTAGTCTGTCTGCAGCACATATAATGGAGTTAATTTCTTTTCCCCTCAAAATATAGCCATTAAAAGCTAAATCCCTGGCAACAAAAGTGAGTACACCCCTAAGAAACTACACGCCTAAAAAGTGAGTACACCCCTAAGAAACTACACCCCTAAATGTCTAAATTGAGTACTGCTTTTCATTTTCCCTCCAAAATGTCATGTGACTCATTAGTGTAACTATGTCCATGTGTTCATGGGGAGCAGGTGTATTCAAATTTGTAGTGCAGCTCTAACACTCTCTCTTACCAGTCACTGAAAGTTCCAATATGGCACCACATGGCAAAGAACTCTCCGAGGATCTTAAAAAACGTATTGTTGCACTACATAAAGATGGCCAAGGCTACAAGAAGATTGCCAACACCCTGAAACTGAGCTGCAGCACAGTGGCTAAGATCATCCAGCATTTTAAAAGAGCAGGGTCCACTTAGAACAGGCCTCGGGTAGGTCGTCCAAAGAAGCTGAGCGCACGTGCTGAGCGTCACATCCAAATGCTTTCTTTGAAAGATTGGCGTAGGAGTGCTGTTAGCATTGCTGCAGAGATTAAAGAGATTGGGATTCAGCCTGTTAGTGTTCACACCATACGCCGCACACTACATCAAATTGGTGTGCATGGCTGTCACCCCAGGAGGAAGCCTCTTCTGAAGACAATACACAAGAAAGCCTGCAAACTGTTTGCTGAAGACATGTCAACAAAGCCCATAGATTACTGGAACCATGTCCTATGGTCTGATGAGATGAAATTTAATTTGTTTGGTTCTGATGGCCTTAATCATGTGTGGCAGCGACCAGGTGAGGAGTACAAAGATAAGTGTGTCATGCCTACAGTCAAGCATGGTGGTGGGAATGTCATGGTCTGGGGCTGCATGAGTGCTGCAGGTATTGGAGAGTTACATTTCATTGAGGGAAACATGAACTCCAACATGCACTGTGAAATACTGCAGCAGAGCATGATCCCCTCTCTCCAGAAACTGGGTCGCAGAGCAGTGTTCCAGCATGACAATGACCCCAAACACACATCCAAGACAACCACTGCTTTACTGAAGAGGCCGAGGGTAAAGGTGATGGACTGGCCAAGCATGTCTCCAGACTTGAACCCAATAGAACATCTTTGGGCCATCCTCAAGCAGAAGGTGGAGGTGTGCAGAGTCTCAAATATCTGCCAGCTCCACGACGTCGTCATTGAGGAGTGGAAGAGCATTCCAGTGACTACCTGTGAAGCT